GAACGGTGGGAAAAGGATGGTTGGCAGTCAACTGACCTTGAAAGTCAAATGTACTTTACACATGATTCAGTAGCACTGCATTCAATCCAGTGTTTTCTTTGCGAGCAGAAAATAAAGTGCTGCGTTCTTTGATGAACTCCAATTCCTCCTCAGCACACACACATTGTTCCTTGATGAAGGATCTGCATTTTCCCATTCACAAAGTTAAACCTTACAGATTCTTTATTCCACCTGGGAAAGGCCACACTTACCTCTAGGTTATAACCTATAACCCTTCTTCTCCTCACACACTCTGATTCCTTTTGAATCTGAGATATTATTTTTAGGAAAACTTTGTGGCCTCTAGGTTTGAATAACTTCTGCAAACGTAGGTAATAAGCAACTTTAGGCAAACTCAGAGGTGCAGTTATTTTAATGACTAGATGATGATGGCCTTACCAATGTTACTTTTCATAATAGGATAAATGATAAGTTATTTTAATTACTCCAATTTCTCTTTTCATTTTACTCAGAGGAGTCTAATCCAGGTCAACACTCATTCTGGAAACTCATCAGTTTACCCAAGGTTGCGCTCCTAACCTTCATCATCACCTCGCTCAGCGCCTGCTTCGGCTTCCTTGACCCGACTCTGTCTCTCTTTGTTTTGAAGAAGGTAAGCAGCCTGATTGCTGAAGAGCTCCATGTTGTAGCAAGACTTACGCAGAATGAGAACTGCACCCTGAGGTAGCCTGTACCTTTGATGTCCCTGAAACTAGGGGTCTGATTCTGTGTAAATGAAGGAAGCCTTTCACTAAGTGGCTCAAACATTTGTCTTCTTCTTTCCAAGGCCAAGCTTGAGTCATCATAGGTCTGGCTTGTGTATCATCCTGGCTCCTTAATAAGGACACCTTTCCTCTGTCTGTTGGAATTTCAGTGGGGAACTTGGCTTTTTAGGCGATCGCATAGAATTGAATGTGTACAGGCTATATTATATGTAGGATAGGAGGGAGGTCCCCAGAGCCTCTCCATCTTTTCAGTGCTGAGGAATTAATACTGAATTATAAAAGTTTGATATCATAGAAATTTGTTTTTAGATATTTTTGAAAAAGATTATTAATAATGCAATAAAGTATATTACCAAGCCTGGTAGTTAACGATACTGGAGAATTAACGTGTCAACACTGACTTTATGTGAAGCCCTAGAATTAAAAAAGCACAGTTACCAGAAACACCACCCTGTGAAGTCACTAAAGCCAGTTTTGGGTGTGTAAACTACCCAAAAAGATAAACCTGGGGCTATAATTATAATGCATGGCCCAAGGTTTAGAGAATTGAATACCAGGCTTAAGCAGGGAGCATCCAGGAAGTAACACATAAGAAAACTGTTTTATGTTTGTGGAGACACATCCCATTCACATCAACAATGTATTCTTCCAGGAAGTTGTGTCTAAAAGTTTGTAACCATTCTCTGGTAAACCTACGTCACTATTGTCTATCTTATAAGAAATCTTTAGAAATGTATTTTTATGATTTTTTTTAACCTTTCTTCTGACTTCTTATCAGTTGTTTGAATAGGTGGTTTGCTGCCAATCCTGGTTTCCCAGCCTTTAGGGTAGGAGGGCTCCACCCTGTCTCCTCCCTATTGTAATATCAGAAGAGGGCATATCTGACTTTACATATCTTGCTTTTGTATCTTTTTTCTTTAAAACACTAATTCTTAGCATGAGTTAATATTTGTCATAAACATTGTTAAAATATTAACTGGCTCATAATTAAATCTCCTGGGTCTAAGTTAGAAAATTAGTTAAGGAAATTGAGGAGAATGAGAACAACTCAGATAACCAAAAAAAAAAAAAAAAAAAAAAGGCATTTGTATCATATTGGTAATAATAACAGTATCAGAGTTACATGGTAGCTTACTGTTTCAAAGCCTTTTAAAATGTGTCATACCATTGAAGTATTTATTTAAATATTGCTATCCCTTTGAGATGGGTAGAGTAGATAATATCATCAATGATTTTTACAATGATGTGACAGTCTGTGGACAGTCACATCACCTGATTGCTTGTTAGAAATGCAAATTCCCAGACTTTGAAAAAGGCTTAGGGCCCAAGAACCTCTCTTAATAAATTCTCCAGGTAAATTTTATGCACCTAAAGTTTGCAAAGTATTCATTTATATGTAAAAACTGATTCATAGAAGCAAAATTATATGTTTATTGTCAAGTGCTACAAAGCAAAAATCTAGGACATCTGACCTCTGGTTAGGTGTTTGTTTTTTCCCCCTCATAGAGAAAAAGTAATCCATTGACCAATAGACAAACCTTAGGAAGGATACTGAGTGTTATTAATAGACTGATGGTAGATAACAAGAGCTGAAGAAATTGCAAAATAAATGTTTATTTTAAAAATGACTTAATCATGTACCTTTAATACAAGATTTCTTTTACAGTTTAACTTACCAGCTGGACACGTAGGACTGGTATTCCTGGGTTTGGCACTATCCTACACCATTTCTTCTCCACTCTGTGGTCTACTAAGTGATAAAATTCCAGTATGTACACTTAATTTATATTTAAGAATTGCTTTTGTATGTTTAGACCAGTAGTTTTCCAACTGTACTCTAGAGCTCTAGAGGTTCATTGATTAGAATTGATATATTCTTTTGTTTTTAAGCTAGAAGCCCTGTGCACGGCATTTGTGCACTGGGGGGAGGGGTATCCCTCAGCCTGGCCTGCACCCTCTCACAACCCAGGACCCCTGGGGGGATGTCCGCCTGTCGGCTTAGGTCCTTAGCTCTGCCACAGAGGTGGGAGAGCCTCCCGCCACCACCACTGCGCTCGCCAGCTGGCAGCCTAGCTTCTGGCTGAATGGCACTCCCCCTGTGGGAGCACACTGACCACCAGAGGGCAGCTCCTGCATTGAGCATCTTCCCCCGGTGGTCACTGTGCGTCATAGCAACCAGTGGTTCCGCCATTTGGTCATTTTGCATATTAGCTTTTTATTATATAGGATTTCTACTTCATTAAGGTGTAATTGACAAAATGCTAATATATTTAAAGTTTACATCGTGGTGAATTGTTATGTATATATAGTATATTGTGTAAGGAGTTCCTCCATCTAGTTAATTAGCACATCCATCACTTCACCTATTTATCTTTTTTGGGGAAGGTGAGAACATTTACATTCTAACATATTCAATTTTTTGAGCTGATGGAGAGGTTCCAGTGTGAGGTTCCACTGACTTATAGCCTGAGCAAGTTCACTTTGCATTAGACTTTGTAAAGATTAAAAGCTACCTTAATACAAAAAAATGGATTGACTTTAATAATTAGGCCAGAATTCCAGAGGTATTGGGTCTTGATCCAACAGAGAGGAGATAATTTGGTTTTCCTGTGGGAGTGAAGAGCTTGGCCACATCAGTATGCATTAGTTATTCCCCTGACAGAAAGTTCCTTCTATTCTCCTTAACTAGGTCTAAACCATTCAGTCCAGATAACTAATGTAAAGAAATAGTGCTGTTAGCCAACTTTTAAGCTTCTATAGCATTAGTGCTTATTTGTCAAGATCTAAATTACATGGAGATTACTAAGAAAAGCAAGTGTCTTAAATAGTGTTTTAAGACATAGTCTTACATATAACTGAGCAGCTATTATTCCCCTATAATTTTTAGCCGGCATTCAAGTAGTGTATAAGGAATAATTTTAGTGGGCACTTTTTTAATAATGTAAAATTTCCAGATGTTTTACCTGCTTGTTCCTTGTAGTGACTGCTTTTTAAATTGTTAGATTTGAACTATTTCGTCATGTACAAAATCTTCCATCCATTTCCTTTGCCAGGAATCCTTGTTTTTGCGTATTCCCTGTGTTTGGGTATGTTGTCCTTGCTTTTGTGTTTACTGCCTACCTATTTTCTCTTAAATGTAGAATTTTGTTTTCTTCAATATATTTGGACTTTTTAATACCATGACTTATGCTCATCAGTGATTTTTTAAAATATTCCTTGTTCATGGAAGGTTTTAAGAGTTTCTTTGGTCCCTTTCTTTATCAGCATCTAAGGAAATGGTTTCTGGTTTTTGGAAACATAATCACAGCAGGCTGCTACATGCTGTTAGGACCAGTCCCAGTCTTGCACATTCAAAGGTAATTTTTTCTTCTCTGTAATTTTGGTCAAATAGCATTAAGAATTGTTTTTATAATTTGGTCTGATATTAGTATCTCTTAGTATTTCAAGCCTTATAATTGAAACAATTACTTTAGCTTATGACAGCATTGGATTGTTTGTTAGACTGACAGTATTTATCTTACTAGAAGCTAGCAGCGGTACAAGCAAACAGGAATGCGTAAGATCTGTATCAAATGAGAAATATCCTTATTCTCCCTTTGTGTTTCAATATCATACTTTTTTGTTGACACTTGTCTTTAGTTGATACTTAAAATGTTTTTTGTTTTAAGGAAGGCAGGGACCAAATGTGTTTTTTTGTTTGTTTGTTTGTTTGTGTCATCCTTACTATGTAGTAGCTGCTCAGTAAAGCTTGTTTTTTTAACATTTTTATTGATTTCAGAGAAGAAGGGGGAGGGAGAGAGATAGAAACATCAATGATGAGAAAGAATCATCAGTTGGCTGCCTCCTGCATGCCCCCTACTGGGGATCGAGCCAGAAATATAAGCTAGCTAGCCAGTCAGCCAATCCCCAAACACCAGATAGGGTTGACTATGCCGCCCCAATCAGATACTTTTTAGTTTTCTCTTCCTTTTTTTTTTATTGTTTATCCTATCAAAGCTTCTTGCCTTCTGTCCCATTTTGCAGTTCTCAGAAAGGAGACTGTTTTTATCACCTAAATTGTCTTCATTTGGAAATAGTACCGATATCACATTCAGTGAGGTAATGGGTGCTAGGTAACTGGCATAGTGCTCCACGTGGTACAAATACTAGTTTCCTGTCACTTTACCACCTCCCTTCTCTGACATTTTTTAGCCAAATGAATTTCAAAGCCAAGCAATTGAAAGAAGAACATTAGCATTGGCGCTTTCACCAATTTTGAAAGGATTGTGCAGGTGATATAAGGCAAGTTGACTCCAGACACGTGATATAGGTGACAGAAGACATTGAGATATCAGGATGAATTGACCCCCACCCTCAAGTATAAGGAGCTAAAAGGATGGGGTCACTGAATGAAATGTGACCAGATGGGAATGAGGACAAGACCAGGCCTGGAATCTGTGAAAGGAACTTCTCTGGGATCCCACCGGCTTCCCTTATCATGAAGCTTTGTGTCTCTTCAAAGGCTAATTTTTGTTTTTCTACGAAACTCTTTTGCAGTCAACTGTGGCTGCTGGTGCTGATGTTAGTCGTGATTGGCATTTCCTCTGGAATGAGTATAATCCCAACTTTCCCGGAGATTATCAGTTGCGCCCAGTAAGTTACTTTCATTTTGTATTTTTTTAACTATATTTTTATTGATTTCAGGGAAGAAGGGAGAGGGAGAGAGAAATAGAAATATCAATGATGAGAGAGAATCATTGATCGGCTGCCTCCTGCACACCCCACACTGGGGACCAAGCCCACGAACTATGACATCCTGGTTCACGCTCAACCACTGAACCACGCTGGCCAGGCAAGAGCTGTATTTTAAACAGGCTTTTGTGAATTTCTCAATTTTGTGAGATTTTGGAAGTGTTTTTTTTTTCACAATAGTATATCTTTATGATATCATGTCACACACTATTGTGATATAAACAGTATATGCAATAATGCAATAGTATAAATGACAATGTATACAGTAATAGTTAAACTGGGTTGTGGGTAGAGGCGTAGTTTGGTTTATGTACAGATGCACATTTAAACAACCAAAGCAAAATGGAAAAGCCTCAGCATTATTCCTCTCTCGTGGAGGAGGTCCATCCAAGAGCATAGAGTGACCAGGCAAAATGGTTCTAGTACCAAGTCCAATGCGTGAGGGGTTTGCCAAGCCATTCTCTCACACCAGCTGGGTGGCCTACAATTCAACTCAGTTCTGACACTGACCACACACAGACAGCATCAGATTTCACAGGCTTAGGGCTCAGTCCCACAAGACTGTCCCCACTTCAGATGCCAGTCACAAGCTCAGGGTATCACCTGTACCCCTGACTGACTGGCTGTCAATTACATGTCCTCATGACCCCCTCCTTGGATTTGATTCATTTGCTAGAGCAGCTCACCAAACTCCAGAAACCAATTTACTCCCTAGATTATGTTTATTAACAAAGGATAATAAAGGGTAGGAATCAACAGCCAGATGAAGAGATACACATGGCGGGGTCCTAAACAAAGGAGCTCCTATGCTCATGGAGTCTGGGCCCTGCACGTTGGCAGGTGTAAGGGTTCCGATTCACCAACCAGGAAGTTCTCTGAACCCTGTCCTTTTGGTTTTTTTTAATGGGAGTTTTATTACTCCGGCATGGTTGATTAAATCGTCGATCACTGGCAGTTGATTGGTGAATGGTGAATGGTGTGGAGGGATGAGGGTGGGGGGACTACAAGTTTCAACCCTCTAATCACAGAAACAGCTCTCCTGGCAGCCAGCCACCATCTTTAGGTGTTTTCCAAAAGTCACCTCATTAATATAACAAAGACTTTTATTGCTTTCAATCAGTTAGGACATTTCAAAGTTTTTAGGAGCTGTGTGTGCCAGAAATGAACCAAGACCAAACATGTACTTCTTATAATAAATCACAGTATCACACCAGGCATTTGTCACTTGGTCAGCAGTCTCCCATTTAGCAGGCTTGATGATGGAGAACACAGAGTGAACTTGGGGGAGTTTATCCCTTCAGGGAGAATACTGGCCTTGAGGCTGTGTCAGCAGCATCTCCCACAGGAAGCAGAAGCTTCTCTGCATTTTCTAAAAGTTGCCTTTACATGCTCATCCCATTTTAAGAATTTCTTCATTATATATTTTTCTGAGCATATAGTGCAAATGGGTTGTGATTCTTAATGTTGTATCTTATATATGCAACAAAATTATTTTTTAGAAAACTAGGAAATAGACATTAGTATGAAAATTCCTTCAACTTAGATTAGCTTTTTATCTTAGAAATGGAGTAAGATATTGGTTTTGTTTTTGGTTTTGTTCAGATTCCTCCTGGCTTCCTTTATCCATATGCACAGTTCTTGTCTACCACACAGCGTCCCTTGCAGTCACTGATACACTCTTGTCTCTCTGCAGTGAGAATGGGTTTGAAGAAGGATTAAGTACACTGGCCCTCGTGTCAGGTCTCTTCAGTGCAATGTGGTCCGTTGGGTGAGTAGCCACTGAATTCCAGTCACCCTGGCAGATGGAAAATACTGTCCCTCAGTTACAGATGAACAAATGGAGATACCAGATGAGTTAGCCAAGGGAACACAATTTATTTAGGGCAGAACCAGAGTTTTACCTGTACCCTCTGACTCTGAGATCATTGGTTATGCCAGCAGTTTTATATACCTAACCAAAATGGTCCCATGGGTGTCTTATAAAAATGATATTTTTAAGTTCACTTATCAGGACCATATCTCCATTTTTAAAATTTATTTAGTTATTTATTTTGTTACTCTATACCATGCCAAAGGGATAACTGTATGCTGGCAATGTAGATATCCATAAATATGTACTGAATTAAATTATCTTTAATATAAACACTGAGTAGAGAGAATAGTATAAAAATTATTTTGAATGCCTGTCTTTTTTAAATTTTATTTTCGTGTAAGGCATCAACTTTTCAAAAGCAGTTATAATTATACAATTGTTTAAAAGATTTAAGCATCATCATTTTCCAGGTAGAACCATTTTCTTATACCCAATGCTAGGTCCAGGAATCACCTTTTTTCTTTAGAACTTATAGTTCCAATTTAATGAAAACCTGTAACTGAAGGAGCATGCAGCCTTAGGAATGATCTCTCTCCCCCCCTCCTCCCCATCTCTCTCTCTCTCTCTCTCTCTCTATTGTTTAATACCCCTTCTTTTTTTCATTGTTAGTGCTTTTATGGGACCAACACTGGGTGGATTTCTGTATGAGAAAATTGGTTTTGAATGGGCAGCAGCTGTACAAGGTCTGTGGGCTCTGACAAGTGTGAGTAATCAGTCTTTCATTTTCATTTTATTTGTGTGGAGAAACATGACTTTGAGAATTGACATTAACTAATAACTTCGATTGTGTTAAAGGGACTATCAATGGGCTTGTTTTATCTATTGGAGTACTCAAGGAGAAGAAGAAGGTATGGTCAATTCTTGAACTACTTTCTCCCTTTAAAGTTGGCTTGTGGCCCAACCTGGTTTGGCTCAGTGGATAGAGCATTGGCCTGCAGACTGAAGGGTTCTGAGTTCAATTCGTCAAGGGCACATGCCCGTGTTGCGGGCTTGATCCCCAGTATGGGGCATGCAGGAGGCAGCTGATCAATGATTCTCTCTCCTCATTGATGTTTCTACCTCTCTCTCCCTCACCCTTTCTCTCTGAAATCAATAATAATAATAATAAAAGTTGGCTTGTGGAGACTGTGTATGCATATATGCATACACAGTCTCCACAAGCCAACTTTTATTTTTTATTATTTTTTCCTTAATAATCCTTTACTGTTGAAAGCATTACATCTGAGAAGAGTAGTTGAAAATCAACAAAACTTTGTGTTTCTAGATGATCAAACTTGGGCTTGAAGATGTTATTGACCCTAGGTCTCCTGTTTCCTCTGTTTACTTTTTATTCAAAATGCACTGATTCTGTGAATGTACCTTTGTATATTAACAAGAAAGAATGTGAATTGACTGGGACAGGCTGGAGGGGGTCAATGGGGGGAAAAAACGGACATATGTAATGCTTTCAACAGTAAAGGATTATTAAGGAAAAAATAATAAAAAATAAAAGTTGGTTTGTGGAAATGAAAAAGAAACACCATTCTACCTCCATTCTGACAGTCAGCAGATTGTTAGGTGCTCTAAGCCTCAGGGCTTGGCAGATGTCTTTGAGGAGGTAGTTAGGTAGAGACATAGGTACTGAATTTTTGTAAGATGAGAAATACTACGATTCTTCTTTTCTTTCCTTCAATGTAGATCAAAAGTTCACAGTATCCTTGGCACAGAGGAGGAACAGCGTGCTCTCTTGCCTGATGAAAACCAGCCTTGAGAACCTTGGGAGACACAGGGTTGGGAGATGGATGTTCCTGGCCTTGAATATTAAAGTTGGAAAGTTTGAAAAGTGTTCTTAATTTTCGCACAGAACTCCATGAACCCACACCAGCATCCTGGAAGTGTCCATTTATTTTTGGATGATCCATGGTGGCTGGCTGCACATACTGTTGTCCTGCAAGGCTGGCCTGCTGAGCCCTGGCCGATTTGGCTCAGTGGATGGAGCGTTGGCGTGCAGACTGAGGGATCCCGGGTTTGAGTCTGGTCAAGGACTAGTAACTTTGTGTTAAAGGGATTATCGATGGCTTAAGGGAAAGAATTGATATGCTTAAAGATAATAAAAGTGACAATATTTGTAGAACAATTACTATGAAATCAGTTTTAAAAAGATATGCTTGATCTTTGTCCTGAGATTTCTGTTTTTGTTCAAAGGCAAATTTCCTGCCTATTATGCAAAAACTGTAACATTTCCTGGCCCTCAGTTCTTTTAAAAAATATGTGTGGAAGGTAGAAGAATAGCATTACTTAAGATTTCTATTTGTGCGACGTATTTTCAATTATTATCTGGATTTATAAGCAATGCTTGATATAACATTCATTTCCCATAATCTCTGTTTCAATTCTGCCATCTTTAAAAAAACAACAACACATATTTCTAGTAGACATATCCATTCCTAGAGCAGGCGATTCCACAGGAATGCTTGTATGTTAGTGAAGGGATTCCTCCGACTTCATGTAAAATCCATGCTGTTGTTTGAAGTGAAAGAGAGTCTCTATTGTGCAACTGTCAAACCTCCTGATCCATTTCCGTAGTGTAACAGCCACATTTACCTGTTTTAAACAGAAGAAATAACTTTAGTTATTTAGCTGTACAAACATATTTATTGAATGCCTTTTCTGAACCGATCCTGTGATAATGTGCTAGAGATTTCACCGTGATCAAGATAAACACCCATATCCAACTTATATTTTAGAGGAAGATAATAGATAAATACCAGAATCTCTATTTTACAGAGGGGCTAGGAAGGAAAACAACATGGTGATGTGAGGGAGTAACTGATGGCTTGATTGGGTGTGGGGTCCTAATTTAGACAAGGCTTCTCTGGAGGTGGGGCTTTTGAACTGAGAATGAGAGGAAAGCAGACCGCACAGCATGTGCAAAGGGGCTGGAGGTGGTCAGAGATGAGACCGTGGCCTGCACACCTTATGTCTAGTAAAGAGAGAAGGCTGGAGAAGTGTGGAGGGGCCAGCTTTTAGGTGGCGAGGCTTGATCCGATGCATATTTCAGGAAGGCTGTTGTCTGGGCATATGGATGTGAGCGGGATGTGATTTAGCAGAGTTGGGGGAGATCTTTGGAAGCTTTGAGAGAAATTTTAATGATTTGGATCAGGAATGTGGTGGTAGAAAGGGCGAGGAAATCGTGCGTTTGGAAGTGGAACCAACAACACCTGCTGATGTGGAGGGAAAGGGAAGAGGAATTTAGGATGACCCCCAGGTTTTGGCAGGAAGGTGAGGGAAGAATAGTAGCAAAACAGATCCTGAAGGGTCAAATTAAACCATAATGTGATGCCCTTTCACACCACCAAGATGAAAAAAACAAAATGTAAAGGATGACAAAACCAAGACAGGGGATGATGGAGAGCGACTTGAAGTACGACAGTGTTGGAATACTTTTTGACATTAATTGCCCAAATCGGATATCCACAAATTCCATGCACTCTTCATTCTTCCTCTCCCCCAAATTCCCTTCGCCTTAAGACCACCAGAGGGTGGTCCAGTGCTCGGAGTACATGGTGGGGGGCGGGGGGGGAGGGATGTCACAGATTCCCCTGTTTCCCAGAACGACCCCCGGAAGGAGTGTGACCCCGGCCCGCTGCATTGTATGGGGTGCAGAACAGTTGCAGGCCTCGGTCACCCTCGTCCAGCTCCAATGCTTAAATCGCCCTGGTCCCACTTCAGTGTTTTTCTTGGCAGAGCACAGGCTGGGGCAAGGTCGCCCCTCCTCCTCCCCGTGGCCTAGAATATGCGGAGCGCCTGCAGTTTCCGACGCTGCCACGCGGGGCCGCTATTGCACCCAGCGAGCAGCCGGCAGCTTCCTGCGGGGCGGCGGCCAGGCTCCCACCTCCACCACCCGGCGTCCAGGCACCCCCCAGGACCCAGGACCCAGGACCCTGGACCGACCGCCTAGTACCGTTACCAGCGCTATTGACTGTTGAGAGTTCAAAGTCAACACAAAGATTCCAAGCTTTCTGGTGAGAGAACTTTCTGTTTCCATTCCCAACAGGCTGTTGTCAACACATGCTGCCACGGATACCAGTGTATTTAAAGACACTTTGTATGAAACTAACCTTGTAGCTTCCTCATTTTATGATTTTGCAAGTCGTATTAAAATAAATGGCCAAAAAAGAAAAAAACGTTAAAAAATAGAGGAACTTTGAGCAATGAAACCAAATGACAGGGTGGAACTATCAAAGGAAATCGTTGTGTTCATTTATCTTTTTATATGTTTATATTCTTCTAAATGTAACAAAGGTGCCTAGCTTAAAAGAATCCTTTAACAAAATGAGACTATTTTATGTGGGTAAATGTAGCATGTAATAGTGATCAAGAAAATGTATCTTTTGTGTTAAGACCATGTTGCAACCTATGCATATGTGATATATAAATTAATCAAAGGAAAAAGAAAAAGGACAAATAAATCACAAATTATATTTTTAATTAAACTTTATAAGTTTGGGGATCATTTTTTATTCACATGCAGTTGTAAGAATTAATACAAAGCCCTGGACATTGTGGCTTAATTGGCTGAGCAGTTGGTTGAGTGTTGTCTCATGCACCAAAAAGTGGCAGGTTGGATTCCCGGTTGGTGCACATGCAAGTACATGCCAGGAGGGGGCATGCGATGGATGTTTCTCTTTTTCCCTCTCCCTCTCCCTCTCCCTCTTCAAAAATCAATAAACATTTTTACTTGATTTAACCATAATTACCTCCTAAAAGCCCTATCTCCAAATACCGTAAAATTGGTGGTTGGAACTCCAACGTAAGAATTTGGGGGAGGCAGGACACATTCCTCAGGTTTTGTAAAGAAAGAAAAAATGTGTTGCTTATTTTACAAATAGTTAACCTACGTTTTCTCTTGCATGTGCCCATAGTTTTTGCTGTGATAGCTGCCTCCAGTGTTGTCAGGTAGCTGCCATACTAGCAACCTCCCTGCTAACAAAACCCCTCTTGCCAGAACTTGTTTGGCTCAGTGGATGGAGCGTTGGCCTGCGGACTGAAGGGTCCCGGGTTCGATTCTGGTCAAGGGCATGTGCCTTGGTTGTGGGCACATCTCCAATACGGGGTGTGCAGGAGGCAGCTGATTGATGTTTCTATCTCATCGATGTTTCTAACTCTGTATCCCTCTCCCTTCCTATCTGTAAAGGAAATCAATAAAATATATATATATTTTAAAAAGGAATGAATATACAGAGGTTATATATACTCTTTACCAAGTTTCCCCAATGAAAACATCTTGCAACATTATAGTACAAAATCATAGCCAGGATATATTGATGGAATCGGCGTGGCTCAGAGGTTGAGCCTTGACCTATGAACCAGGAGGTCTCTGTTCAGTTCCTGGTCAGGGCACAGCCCAGGTTGTAGACTCAATACCCAGTAAGGGGTGAGCAGGAGGCAGCTGTTAGATGATTCTCTCTCATCACTGATGTTTTTCTCTCTCCCTTCCTCTCTAAAATCAATATATATTTTAAAAGATACAGAACATTCTCCATCCTTAATGTTGCCTCTTTATAGAACATCCAGTTCCCTCTCACAGTCACACCTTCCTTAATCTCTGGCAGCCACTAATCTGTTTTCTATTTCTATAGTTTTGTCATTTCAAGGATGTTGTATAAGTGGAATCACATAGTATGTTATTAACTTTGGGGATTGGGCTTTTTTCATTCAGCACACTGCTCTTAAGATTCATCTACATTGTTGCATGTACCTATCGTTCATTTCTTTATATTGCTGAGGAATATTGCATGGTGCGGGTCTACAGCTTGCCTTATCATTCATTGAAGGACACCTGGATTATTTCCAGTTTATGTTTATTACAAATAACACTATTATGAACATTAATGTTCAGATTTTTGTGTGAACATGTCTTCATAATTTGGGATAACTGCCTGGGAATGATACAGCTGTTGGATAGTATGGTAGTTGCATGATTAGTTTTCCCCTCAAATAACCCATTATTTTACATAGGAAATTTGATTTGGACAATAGATATTAAATATCATACATTAATGAAATATTCTATTTACTTATTTATTAAGTTGTGAGGATTTAAATATGATAAATATACCTCCTCAAATCTAGGTGGTAAAAGAGGTGGATAATAAATACCGACATAATTTTCTAACTGATTTTCACTAAGTATAATTACTAGTAAATGAAAGTAAAGAAACACACATCTCTGTTTATATACAATCTTATAAAAAAGGAATGACCCAAAGTTTAGTCCTATGATAGTTATCTTTCCTTTGGTATCAATATCACATGTCCTCTATTTATGAAAAACTCATAGGAGTGTAAGACTCAAATAGCATATTCAGACAAAGAAAAACACATCTACAGTATTAACAAAGGGAACTAAGTAAACCCTGCTTATTCTGCCTTTTTTAAGAACAACTTACAAATCTTAAACAGTTGCACTAGTTTTCTCAGAAAATCCACAGCCTGTTCTACTCCCAGCCTGTTTGTAGTTGAGAGTTATAGGTGACAATCTAGGAAGGCTTGGGGTTCAGCACAACTTCTGAGTTTAGTGCAATTTTGTCATCAGTACTAAAACAAATCATTCAAAGTCTGTTTCTTCTTGACAAAAAGCATGACAAATACAAAAAGTAGTACATAATTATTTCATTTTTAATTTTTCTGTCATTCCAGACAAGTTTGAATACCAAATCAGTTGTCACATTATTATATACTAGAGGCTCAGTGCAGAAATTCATGCACAGGTAGAGTCCCTAAGCCTGGCTGGTGATCAGGGCTGATCAGGTTCTCTGCCTTCCTGCCTCATCCTTCCCTCACTCCCTCAGCACCGCCCCATCACCACTGCTGCCGCTGGTCACCCGCCATGTTCCGTGACACCCCCTGGTGGTCAGCGCACATCATAGCAAGCGATCCAAGTCTCCCGGTTGAACTCCTGAGGGAACACTTTGCATATTAGCCTTTTATATATATGGATTTTGAAAATGTCCACCATGAAATCAATTATTGGATGAATTCTGATAGAGTTGTTTTCCTTTAAAAAATTAAAGTCAGTGTACATAAATATTTGAACATAATATTAATAACTTGTCTTCATATACTTTCAGCACTTTGGGCTATATTCATTTCCTGTATTGTTTTCTGTTTTATCACTATTACTGGGTCCTTTTACCTCTTATTTACTTAGCCGATGAAGATCAGTCACTCAGTTGTTGGTGAGTCCATTCCCAAGAGCCAGGTCCTGTCTCTAGATGTGGAACATGAATAGTGGGAGAACAGGGCTATGCATTAGGAAGTGGCACTATCATCTCATAGTAAGAGAGCGGCAACACTGGACTATATACATGCCCTTGCATCTTCTGAAGTAAAAAATTTCTCAAGGAAAAGCAGCAATATTGGGGGAAATGCAAGGGAAGGAAGACCTGCCCATGACTTGTTTCATTTTTGTTGTTGGGGAGTTTGTCTTAACACAGCTCTCCGGACCTTGGTAAGTTGATTTAGAGGAGTGAGCGCTCCCATGTATATACTGTGCATTAATTGGTCATTGGTCTTCCATAGAGATGAATTCCACTTAGCAGCGCTATGGCCTGTGACTCTGATTCTGGGTGTTCAAAGCAGACAAATGCAAGATGTCGGCTTTTCTTCTCTGTCTTTGCATGTGGTCACTTTGGTTAATGGCTCAGCCTATCAGAAGTAATAGCTCATAAAGAAATTCTTGCCCTGACCGGTTTGGCTCAATGGATAGAGTGTCAGCCTGCAGACTGAAGGGTCCCAGGTTCGATTCTCGTCAAGGGCATGCACTTTGGTTGCGGGCACATTCCCATTGGGGAGTGTGCAGGAGGCAGTTGATCAATGTTTCTCTCTCTTCGATGTTTCTAACTCTCTATCCCTCTCCCTTCCTCTCTGTAAACAATCAATAAACTATATTAAAAAAGAAATTCTTCCTGCCCTGGGGCCTCTCAACTCTCCACCAACACTGTCCTGTCCTCTTCCAGAACAGGGAACAGGATGTAGGAGGCAATGGGATTCTGCCCTACCTCCCTGCTTACTGTTCCACCCAGGATGGGGTGGGACCATGAGTAGCTTTTTCAGAAACTGCCACGCTTGTTTTCCAGGGTGTCTAGCTGTGCCATTCCGCATTCCCAATAGTAATGAGTGAGTAATAGAGTTTCTCGGTAAGTTGTGTGCACGTGTGTGTTGTGTGTGTATCTGTTTTTTTAAAAAAAATCTGTGATGAATGAATTAAGGAGTTAGAATTATTGATCAGAGAGAAAATCTGTGGTACAGTTGGAGAGAAAACATTCAAAAGTAGCTGGTAGAAATGGACTTTCAGTTAATAATTTCAGGATAAACCAGTCAGGGCAGATTGACACAGAAGGCTTTGTGGAAAGAGAGAGAACAATGAGAAAACAGAGACAATGGACTGGTTGAAGTTTTTTTTAAAAAAATTAGTAGCCAAGAACAGGTGGGCACAGGGGCAGAGAGAATTAAAGCCCTGGGTCAAAGCTGCCCTGGGCATTGTCCTCCAATAGAACCACCATCTTCTGGGCTTGAGGCAATAATAACAGCAAAAATTATTCAGCACATACTACCACCTTTGGCAGATGAGGGAAACTGTGGTACTGAGAGGTCACATTACTTACTCATAGTCAACCAGCTGGGAAGTGATTCAAACCTAGGCATTCTGGCTTCGGGGTCCATGCCAGCAACCATCACTCCATACCATCCTGACTCTTATAACTAAAGTGAGAAAAATTCCTGCCATGTGAGTTATCAGTAATTAGATGCAGGGCCATACAGGAATTTAGTTATGTCCACATGGGGGAAAGTTCTAGAGTGGATTTGCATTACAATAAAAGAACAATGGGCTAAAGAGAAGGAATATAATGTGAATGTAAGAGTCAATGTAGGTCTTAGGGCTAGAAAATGGCTAACTTCTCTGGCTCTGTTACTTCCCCTGACCACAACCCATGGGATACTCACATTACAATCAATAGGGTATTTAATCGAATGGGATGATTTATATAATTCAGAAAATCAAAATAACTTAAAAGCAAATAAGTACAGAAGCTAAACAGCAGGGTTAAAGTTAAACTATAGTTTCTACTGAGATAATTGCTACCATACTTCATTCCCCACTGGTTTTATGTGCATGAGTCAGATCATGGAGGAGTCCCATTCTTAAGGGCTCCTCCCTCATGACATAAACATTTTGCAAAGGCCCCACTTCCTGATACTGTTATGGGTTCAATCAGCGAGAGAGACCACTGACTCAGAATTTAGATGTAGGAGCCTTTATTAAGCTGGCCAGCTGACTACAGCGTGTCCCTGCCCGCTCTGGGAGCCTTGCAACTTGTAGTGCCGACCGAGGGTACAGCAAAGCCTTTTATCTGCAACACTACAAAGCATTTCCTGGCACTGGCAGGGTTCACACAAAGTTTACAAGTATGAATGGGGAGGTAAACGGAGTCACACCTCGCTGGGTTGAATCATAATAAGACAATCTAGCAATTTTTCTCTGCCACGATCCCAGACCCTAATACAATCGGTAACCTTTCCATGCCTCAGTCCCTCCCCCTAGCACATTCCGTAACCTTTCCATGCCGCAGTCCCTCACCCTAGCACAATTCATCACACTAAGAATTAGGTTTGGACATATGAGTTTGGGAGGTGGAGGGGCACACAAACATTCAGTCTATAGCACCAACCAAAACAATTTTTAAAAGTTCCTTTCAGTGAATGCAATGAACTTTGGGCATAGTTGAATGGGAACTAAAGTTAATGGTTTGCAAGCAAAGTCAGCAAGAGAGTTGGTTACTGTTTTCCCTTTGAAGAATCGGGAGCATGCTACCAGTTCAAAGGGACTTTTGCAGCGCCTCAACTTCTGAGAGCTGAAAGCGGAGGGTAATTTGAACCACGTGAATCACAGAGGCCGTAGGTCAAAAACAGTTGGCTACTGGCAACTTCCTGTGGCACAACCCTTTCCATTCAGTGGGGCATGACATTTCATAGCTCTCCGATTTCCTCTTGGTTTTAGTTGCATTAGCTGTCCTGTCCGAGCAGTTGAACGCCCATCCAAGTCTCGCTCGCATGAGACCAGACACCAAAAGATAAAGTTCAAGCTGGTTCTGCTCAAGCAGACATTTCCTTCCAAAAAGGCAGATTCAAACCATCTTTTGAAGACATATGGAAGCCTCCACAGGGGACAGGGACAAAAACATTGTTTCTTACCACTATGTCCTTTTTGGAGATATAGTACCATCTTTCTTTCTTTCTCTCTCTCTTTCTTTCCTTTTTTTTTTTTTGTATACAATTATCAAGAGAATAGTTTGAAAAGAAGAACCTGGTTTTTCGTGCTTATTCTGATGTGTCATCCTTGCTGCATTGAGGAAATGCTATCAGTGTTGTACACGCTATTTCCAAATCTTTACTTCTCAGCTCACTTAATGTCATTTCATTTCTGGGAGAGAGGCCAGACGAGGACGTCCTTCAGGCTGAGGGAGGCTCGAAGCAGCTCCGCACTATCCAGAGTTCCTTGGTGTTTTTGTTGTATCTCCACCTCGTGGTTGATGGGCACCGGCCATGTCCTGCTTGGCAAGATCCAGGAGTTGATCTCAGGTACTCTGCCCCCATTTCATCCCCAGGACCCCAAAGAGTCTAGATTTGTTTACTCAAATAAGCGTTGTTCTGTGGGCCTAACAACTAAAGCACATGAAACATTCGGGATCATTACATGACTAAATTGTCACTGTTTGAGTTAATAATTGCCATCCCATCCTAATCTTACAGAGAACCTTCATGTATCTTGGACTCTCAGACTAACCTTGGGAAAGAGAGCGCGCAGGTATTATTATTTTTCACATCAGAGTTACTTTAATTTTCTCTCTCTTAAAGGGTGTAATTGTACTACACTTCAATTTTGTTTTTATTGAAATTTGACATCAAATTTTATCAATAGTAGATGTACAATCTTTGTAATGCTTTTTTATTGTATTCATTTAATGGCAATATTTTCCTCTCAAAAGTGGGTTGGGTATAATATTCATAAGATGATAAATAAGCACTCGTGCGCCGCCCTTTATAAATGCTACAGGAATTTTACTTGCACTTTCAGAAATCTCTAGACCTTGGCCATGATCACTTCCTCCTTTCAAGCCTCTGTGGCAGTTTTTGCCCTGGTTACCCTGCATGTCAGTGCCCGGGATACATTTATAGCTGCCGTGTATGAACATGCTGTCCTAAGGCCAAAGGACACAGAAACACCTGTTTCTCGGGACGATGCCTTGCTCCTTATGAACAAGAATATAGATATTCTGGAGAAAGCGATAAAGCAGGCAGCTGAGCAGGTATTCTTTTATTTCTACTAATCTTAACCCATGGCAGGGACATGAAATCTGGCGGAAGGTTGCAGTGTTGCACTGTCTGTGTTACATGGGGAGACATACTTTTGATTGGACTTGTTTTGAATAGGGTGCTCAAATTATTGTGACTCCAGAAGATGCACTTTATGGATGGAAATTTACCAGGGAAACCATTTTCCCTTATCTGGAGGATATCCCAGACCCTCAGGTGGACTGGATTCCATGTCGAGACCCCCAAAGGTATTGTCTCTATCCTAGTTGTTCGTGCAAAAGTGCGGCAATTCTCTAAAATGTGCATGTTCACCACAACATGATAAATCCTGAATTATCATGTATCTGGTGGTATGTTATTGGTATATTTATCTTGGCATTTGTTAGATTTAAAAAATTGTGCTTAGATACCATTTAATATCTTTATTCAATTTAGAGAAAATTTAGGACATTTCTAAGTAGGACTGCTGATAAAGGGGGAGAGGATCTCATGGATACAAGTAAATTAATTTATGAAGTGGACAGTGGGTTGTGTTTGGAAAATATTTCCATGTCTCTATTTAAAGGTTCCATGTTGCATTTGTATTGGAATCTGCTTCTCAGGCAGAAAGACCTCACTGTGTACTCTCTAGTGCAGCAGTTCTCAACCTGTGGGTCGCGACCTCTTTGGCGGTCAAACGACCCTTTCACAGCGGTCGCCTAAGACCATCCTGCATATCAGATATTTACATTACGATTCATAACAGTAGCAACATTACAGTTATGAAGTGGCAACAAAAATAATTTTATGGTTGGGTCATAACATGAGGAACTGTATTTAAAGGGCCAGAAGGTTGAGAACCACTGCTCTAGTGAATCATAAGACTTATGCTATGAAACTTTGCATGTTCCTAGGCTCATAAAGGTAATTTTCCTGAGAAGGAGTAATCTAGGAATGTAATCTAGGAATCTAACGCAACATATTTAATAGACATGGATGTATGTTTAATATACAAATCCTACTTCCTAATAAGACTTGGAGGTTATTGAGGTACAGATTGTACACTTCAAACCTTTCAGGGAAAGGTCTCTCACTCTATCCCACTTATTCTTACTCATCTCTCAGATACTCTCACTCTGTTGCCCTCTCATACTCTCTCATTCTTTACCTCAAATGAAGTTTATGTAACATTCCTCTGCCATATTTTTGCTGGAGGATTATAGCTACCACACTTCTTTAGGCACTCCTGGTTATTCTGACATTTATATAAGGACTACCAGGAAAGGGCTTTTCTTTGCTCTAGAGAGATTAACTGCACACAAAAAAAGAAGAAAAAAAAAGAGAGAATATTGGGTTACATGACCTCGGACAATTTCCTCTTCCCACCCTTCCTGTCCTGAGCTGATTTCTCTATGGTGTTTGTAAGAAATTTTATTTCATTTAAAAAAGAGGCCAATAGCCGGACAGTCTTTCTGCATAGAAGTTTTGGGAATTGGGATGGCCCATTTATTTTTATTCTCATAGTATGATTGAGTTCTGGATTTCCTGTTAAAAACAAGGTATGATGAAAATGTATGGATGAGTCAAAGGTCACAGTAACTATGGGAACTAGTAAATGTTGGGGGACAGGTTCTTCCATATGGTTAGTAAGTGCCTCTTTCATAGCCCTACAGTAGAAGAAAAACATTTTGACAGAAAATTGGCTTGCATTATCATCAGATATAGTCAGATTTAAATAATTAATCTTTTCATTCATTCAACCATTTTTTAAAAATATTTTTTTATTGATTTCAGAGAAGATGGGAGAGGGAGAGAGAGATGGAAACATCAATGATGAGAGAGAATCATTGATCACTGGCTGTCTCCTGCCCAGCTCCCACCAGGGATTGAGCCCGCAACCTGGGTACATCCCCTTGACCAGATTTGAACCCAGGAATCAAACCCAGGAATCAAACCCAGGACCCTTTGAGTCCACAGGTCTGCACCCTATTTACTGAGCCAAACCAGCTAGGGCAGATTTCCTTCTTTTTACGGCCATGTACTATTCCATTGTATAAATGTACCCTAGCTTTTTTATCCAGTCATCCACTGATGGCTACTTGGGCTGTTATCAGATCTTGGCAATTGTAAATAATGCTGCTATGAACAGGGGAGTGCATGTATTCTTTAGAATTGGTGTTTTGGGATTCTTAGGACATATTCCCAGAAGTGGGATCACTGGATCAAAAGGAAGTTTTATTTTTAATTTTTTGAGGAATCTCCATACTGTTGCCCACAGTGGCTACCCCAGTCTGCATTCCCACCAGCAGTGTACAAGGGTTCCCCTTTCTCCATATGCTCGCCAGCAGTTGTTGTTTATTGACTTATTGATGGTAGCCATTCTGGCAGGTGTGAAGTGAATCTCATTGTGGTTTTAATTCTCTGATGATTAGTGATGTTGAGCATTTTTTCATATTATCTATTGACCATCTATCTGTCCTATTGTTATTATTGTTTATATATGAAGTAACTAAATACTTTTTAAAGTTGAAATGCCTTTTTTATTGAGATATAATTGGCATATAACATTGTGTAAATTTAAGGTGTATAATGTGTTAAATTAATACGTTTATATATTGCAATATGATTACCACCATAGCTCCAGTTAATCCCTCTATCATGTCATATAACTATCATTTCTTGTAGTGGTGAGGACAGTTAAAATCTAGTCTCGCCCTGACAGGTTTGGGTCAGTGGATAAAGCGTTGGCCTGTGGACTGAAGGGTCCCAGGTTGGATTCCATTCAAGGGCATGTACCTTGGTTGCGGGCACATCCCCAGTAGGGGGTGTGCAGGAGGCAGCTGATCGATGCTTCTCTCTTATCGATGTTTCTAACTCTCTATCCCTCTCCCTTCCTTTCTGTAAAAAATCAATAAAATATATAGTATTTTTAAAAAGATCTAGTTTCTAAGCAACTTTAAAGTCTATAATACAACATTATTATCTGTATGCTGTGCATTAGACCTTCAAGACTTATTTACCTACTAGTTGCAAGTTTGTACTCTTAAACCACATATTCTCAATTCCCCTATCTTCTGGGCCCTGGTAACCACTATTCTACTCTGTTTCTGTGAGTTCCGTCTTTTTAGATTCCACAAATAAGTGATATCATACAGTATTTGTCTTTCTCTGCTGTCTGACTTATTAAAATCTCTTCATTAAAATTTGATTTAGATTTGGTCACACACCCATACAAACAAGACTCAGCTGCCTGGCCAAGAACAACTCTATTTATGTCTTGGCAAATATTGGGGACAAAAAGCGATGTGATTCTCAGGACTCCACATGTCCTCCTAATGGCTATTTTCAGTACAATACCAACGTCGTGTATGATGCAAAGGGACAATTGGTGGCACGTTACCACAAGGTAAGAGAGGGTGGGTATGTAGAATGATGACTGTTATGAGGGGGATGAATGCTGTGTTAAGTATTTTGAGCTTTATTCCCCATATATGATGTTACTAGAGATTTTTTGTTAAGGCAAACACTAAAGAAAGTCACATTTTAGAAAAAACTAATCTGGGAAAAAATGTAGGCAAAGAGCTATTAGAAAGATGTTGCAATAGTCCATGATTGAGATAAATCATTCTGTGTATAAAAACGTAATTTTAATATTAATTCAAAGGATATCAAGGTGACTGCGGTCTGGATACCATTTAATACTGAAATGATATAAAGATGTTTCCAAATTGCATGAATGAGTTTTACAGAAGTTAATTTCCCTGTTTTCTATCAAATTACAAAAACTATCTTTCCCTTTATTTTTCATACCAGTTAACTGAATTACCCTCTTATGAATTTAAGGTTAAAAGAGCAAAATAATCTTTAGCCATAATTTTATACCAAATTGGCAGGGAGAGAGCCAGCCTTCTAAGTGGATATGGGATATGCATGTCAGTGTGTACATCCTCTTCCACACCCACCCACACTTTTTCTAAGCATCTTAAATTGTATCTTTTAACAATTTCTCCACCCAGAATCTTTTGAGTGGAGAAATAATCTGCTGGAAGTCCCAGTTGAAATGTAAGGAGTGATATTAACCCAATTGTTTTTCAAGGCTTTTGATCACATACTGCTACAGAAAAAAAATTGTATATTTATTTTTCTATTTCTAAATAAAACACAGTCCTAGTGGTTTGGCTCAGTGGATAGAGCGTTGGCCTGAAGACCGAAGGGTCTCAGGTTCAATTCTGGTCAAGGGTATGTCCCTCGGTTGCAGGCTCCTCCCTGGTCCAGGCCGTGGTGGGGGCTCCTGCAGAAGGCAACCCATTGACGTGTTTCTCTCACATCGATATTTATCTCTGTCTTTCCCATTCTTTTTCATAATCCCTAAAAATCAATGGAAAAATATCCTTGGGTGAGGATTAAAAAAACAAAACAAAAATAAATAAGTAAGTAAGTAAATAAATAAATAAAGAAATAAAACAATCACATAACTTTCAAACAGCTTCCTTACAGTTTCCTTCATTTTGTGGGTTTTGACAACTTCTTTTCATTTATAATTTCAGCAATTTTGAAAGTTCTGAAATTATTTTGGATGGGACACTGTAAAGAGGGAGGTAGCATCCCTCATCCACTTAACAGATGCTTATTGTGCATTATTATGTTTCTAGGGGTCAGGGATTCTTCTTTGGATCCCTGACACCTAGAAACATTCAGAACACTTCTTCAGCTTTTAAGAAAGTCATAACCTATAATTTATGGAAAGTTATCTGTCTTCTAACTTGGGCAGGCTGGGGTTGGGGAGGAGATAGTGTGTCCCTTTTCCTTGGCCTTTTACTTCCAATAACCAGTCTCATTCACTGTGTATAGAGTCTCAGTTGTTGACCATAACCAAATCTATTACTAACTTTGGAGGGTTTTTTTTCTTCTTTTGCTTTCTTTCTTTCTTTCTTTCTTTTTTTTAACAAGTCATCTCTTCAGTAAAGAAGCTTTTCCTGGTTTTGTCTTATGCATTTGTTACAGTACCACCTCTACTCTGAGCCTCAGTTTGATGTCCCTGAAAAGCCAGAGCTGGTGACTTTTGACACCACCTTTGGAAGGTTTGGCATTTTCACATGCTTCGATATACTCTTCCACGACCCTGCTGTGGCCCTGGTGAAAGACTTCCATGTGGACACCATACTGTATCCCACAGCGTGGATGAATGTTTTGCCCCTATTGACAGCTATTGAATTCCACTCAGCTTGGGCTATGGGCTTGAGAGTTAATCTTCTTGCAGCAAATATACACCATGTGCAACAAAATATGACAGGTAATTTATGACCAGATGAAGTTTGCAGATAATACTTCTAAATGCAGAGAAGCTAATCCTCAGATGTGAACTGTCATAACTTTTTGCTTCTTTATAGGGACTAACCACTATATTTTTCAACTTTTCACACATGCACTCAAAGCCTAGTGACTGATTTTTAAAAAACATATTTTTGGGAGAGATCAACCAAAGGACTTGTATGCATGCATATAAGCCTAACCAATGGACACAGATACCAGGGAAGTAAAGGCATGAGTGGGGGGATGGGGGGGCAATGGGGGGAAAAGGACACATATGTAATATCTTAATCAATAAAGAAAAAATATATTTTTTAATTTATTTCAGAAAGGAAGGGAGAGAGAGAGATAAAAACATCAATGATGAGAGAGAATCACCGATTGGCTGCCTCCTGCATACCCCCAACACCCCCAACTGGGGATCAAGCCTACAACCCAGGCATGTGCCCTTGACTAGAATCGAACCCGGGACCCTTCAGACCGCAGGCTGATTGATGCTCTATCCACTAAGCCAAACAGGCTAGGGCCCTAGTGATTGATTTGAGCAGCTATGTTACATTAAGACCTTTCTGTGCATTATTTCTTTATCCTCACAACAACTCTAAGAGATGAGTACTACCATCCACTTTTATAGATTAGAAATCTGAGACACAGAGCATGCAAGTAACTTGCCAAAGGCTACCAGCTTGTGCAGGGGTCCTCAAACTACGGCCCGTGGGCCACATGCAGCCTGCCGAAAACATTTTTGTTTTTTTACTTCAAAATAAGATATGTGCAGTGTGCATAGGAATTTGTTCATAGTTTTTTTAAAAACTATAGTCTGGCCCTCCAACGGTCTGAGGGACAGTGAACTGGCCCCCTGTTTAAAAAGTTTGAGGACCCCTGAGCTAGTGAGTGGCAAAGCATGGAAGTAGACATGATTTGCTCAAACATTGGCAGAGGACTAAGGAGCGTATTAATTGGTATGTTGTTTGGAACAATTTACCTTCACAGTAAAAAGTAGCTTAAAATGACAAACATTTATTATCTCACCTTTTCTATCGGTCACTACTTGGGACTAGCTTAGCTGGGGGATCCTGGCTCAGACTATCTCCTTGGGTTACGTCAAGCCCTTAGCTGGGCTAGTGGTCATCTGAAGCCTTGAGTGGGGCTGGCAGGCCTGTTTCCAGGAGGGCTGCCTCACGTGGCTGTATAGGCAGGATCCCTTAGTTCAGCGGTTCTCAACCTGTGGGTCGTGACCCCTTTGGTGGTCGAGCGACCCTTTCACAGGGGTCTCCTAAGACCATCCTGCATATCAGATATTTACATTACGATTCATAACAGTAGCAACATTACAGTTATGAAGTAGCAACGAAAATAATTTTATGGTTGGGTCACAACATGAGGAGCTATATTTAAAGGGCCAGAAGGTTGAGAACCACTGCCTTAGTTCCTCAGGGAATATGGGCAGGAGACCTTCATTTCTTGCCACTTGGGCCTTTCCATAGGCTATGTGATGTATCCTCATGACATGGCAGCTGACTTTCTTTAGATAGATGATAGTTAGATAGAGAGAGAGAGAGAGAGAGAGAGAGAGAGAGAGAGAGAGAGAATGAGAGAGAGAGAGTGGGAGCTGCACTGCTGTTTTTATTAATCACACACCGTCACTTCTATCGTGTTCCATTCATTAGAAGTGAGTTGCAAAGTCCAGCCTGCACTCAAAGGGAAAGGAATTAGACCTACCCATTGGAGAGAAGAGTGTTGAAAAATTTGGGAGTGATATGGAAACACCAGCATAGTGGGGACCAGGAGAGAATTTTGTATTACTGTTCCCTACCTTTCATGTACTCCCAAATACAAAGACTTTTATATTGGTTTTAATTTTCCACAATGCTCATAAACATTCCTGTTACAGTCAAAGTTTATTTGACACCAGACATCAAGCATCTATTATCCTCCCTCAGTAGAGAACAGGAGAAGTGCTTGGGTGTTCCCTGTAACTGGAAGCCTGTGTGCTGTCTCGTTGTATTAAAAACACTCCTTTTCCATTCACAGGCAGTGGTATTTATGCACCGCATTTGCCCCGAGCATACCATTATGATATGGAAACAGACTCGGGAAGGCTCCTCCTTTCAGAAGTGGATTCGCGTCCCCGAACCTCTCCTGCCTACCCCACAGCCGTGGGCTGGAGTGCCTATGCCACAACCATCAAACCATTCCCAGTCCGGAAAAATACTTTCAGTGGGTTTATTTCCCGAGATGCGTTCAACTTCACAGCACTTTTTGAAAATGCAGGAAATCTTACAGTCTGTCACAAAGATCTCTGCTGTCATTTAAGCTACAGAATGTTAAGAAAAGAAGAGAATGAAGTGTATGTTCTAGGAGCTTTCACAGGACTTCACGGCCGAAGGAGAAGAGAGTACTGGCAGGTAATCTCAGCTCAGGTGAAAGGGAACACTCAGGTATCAGTCAGTTATAGGGTTCGCCTTCCATGTTTGCCCCAGGGAGCCAAGTGCTTTTTCTCTGCATGACTCCATGCATTGCCAATACAGTATTACACACGCACACACACACATGCTAGGAGTAAAAATGATATTTGCAATAGAAGTTAACTATAATCAGATTGCTTGCTTAGAGCACATCTTGTCTAATAATAGACAAACATGGTAATTGACCGTACCTTTGCTACACCTCCCATTGGCTAATCAGCATGATATGCAAATTAGCCGCCAACAAAGATGGTGGCTAATTTGCATATACAGGCTGGTAGTGAAGACTGATAGAAGGAAGCCAAGCAAAGGAGCTGAGGTAGCAGAGACGGGTGGGGTAGGAGCCACAGAGACGGGTGGGGTAGGAGCCACAGAGACGGGTGGGGTAGGAGCTGCAGGGACGGGAGCGAAGCCCTATTCTTGCAGGAATCCTCCTGCAACAGGCCTCTAGTTTAAGATAATATTTATTAACCTGACCATGATGATTTTCCATTTGACTAATGAACTAGTTTACATATTATAGTGAACCTCACTAAAGCTTTCTTATGTAGTTTTTCCAATGTATTTGAATATAAACAGTTTTGTTTTAACTTTTAAAGTCAACACTGAGTAAGGATATCACTTTGATCTTAGTCTCTCTTGTCATCAGATGTTTTTTTCATTTTATTTCTTTCCAATGACAAATATTTAAAATTCAAACTTTCATTTAGTGTTGCCTATGCATCTCATTATACTCTGTATCCCACTGCCCTTTCTTATACAAAGGATATGGAGGAAAAGGGATGGTCAAAACTTTAAACATAATATTAGCTTTAGTACTACTGTTGCAGAGAGATCTCTACTCTCTTGGGCCAACTAATAATCTGATGTGCCAAAATAACGGTTTAGGTCTAATTCTAAACTGACTTCTTTCTTTCCATCCATTTGTTGCCCAGGAGGTGGGCTTGGTTCTCAAATCATTGGCCATTTCCAATAAAGCTGTTAATAATAAGAAACATGATCCAAATCTTTTATCAAATGAGGAAATAGTTACTTTGCTATAGTTATAAACTGAGTCAATCATTCTAGTACAAGTAAGATGTAAGGCATTGCATTTTATCTATATCTGTTCTACATAGGTATGCACCATGCTGAAATGCAAAACGACTAATCTGACAACTTGTGGACAACCAGTAGAAACAGCTTTGACAAGATTTGACATATTCTCCCTAAGTGGTACATTCAGAACAGAGTATGTTTTTCCTGAAGTGCTACTTACTAAAGTTCAACTGTCACCTGGAAAATTTGAGGTAGGAGGACTTGAAGAGTATTTTTATTTTATCTGTTCTCTGAAGCCAAGCAAAATAGGTTATGGCAACTGTATCACTTAAATTTTACTGTGTAGCCAACTTCCTCAGACCTTAATGGCTTTAGATAATAACCATTTTTTGGCTAGTACTTTGTTGTTGACTCTATGAACTGACTGTAGCTAGGCTGTTCTGGTTTGGAAAAGGCTTAGCTGATCTTGGCTGGGCTCATTCATGCATCTGCCACTAGCTGGTGATTGGGCTGGTTTGTGATGGCCTTGTCTTAGACAGCTGGAATGATTGGGGCCACTCTCTCCCTGTGTTGTCTCCTCTTCCAGCAAGCTTGGACTTGAAGGAGTCCAAGAGCATCAAGAGGGAAAGTCACAATGGGCAAGTTTTTCTCAAGTCTTTGCTTACACCATGTTTGTGAATGTCTCATTAGCCAAAGCAAGTCACATGCCCAAAGTAGTTTCAAAGGTTAGAGAAATAAATGATACAGATCTCTCAATGGATAGAGCTGCAAAATCACATTGCAGAAGGGCATGAATATCTGGGCCATTTTTACATTTACAGCAAGTAATTCTAAAGTGATGACACTTGGTTGGAATAACATGATAAGATACCTAGAACCTGTGAGCTCAAGGCCCCATCTGTTGAAAAATATTTGTTTACAGATTTTCAATGTCCTTTTGTTGCATGTGGAAACAAATGTAAAATCAGATATTTATTTTACAAATTATAGTGGCTATAACCAAATTAATTTATAAATTAAGCTGGTCTCAAATTAGAATTAAGACTGTCGGTTTTTATCTGCTAGTCCACACACACTCTTCATGTCTTCTCTGAGTTGTGGCAGAGGCAGGATTACAGTAACTAAGGTACAGTCACTGCATTTTTATAAGAAAAATAAGATCTACATTAATTCACCTAAAGCATTAAGCAAGAAAGTCTTTAAAATGCAGATTGCTGATGGTCATGCCTGCCTGTATTATCAGATTTGGATATATCATATTTATAAAAATATTTAATTCTATGAAACCAACAGAATGGTTTCTCTTAAAGCTGAGAAACCCAGGGAACGGGAATCCTTGGTTGCCTTACAACCTGGTCAGGTAGAATCTCATGAGCAAATGAAGCTGGAATAAACGCTTAAATGCCAAGTACAGAAAATTATAATCAGATATGAAGTGAGGGCTCTGGAACTGTAATCTAGCAGTTCAGAGGTGGCCAGGCTGGCACAAATAAGTATAGATGAATTGAAAATATGTGAGGCCACTTCAAGTGAGAGAAAGGAGAGCAGGGTTCATACAGATCAGGGGTCAGGTTTATGGGGGCCCTGTATTCTCATAATCCCTGCCATGTAAACTGAACACACAATCTAATCTCTAGTCTTCTGGGTAGTACTTTGATATTATCCCCCTCCCCGCTTGTCATGTACTCATAGAAATGTATCTGTCTCATTGAGAAATTACCATAGAGTGAGACTGAGCATTAGGTCACAAAAGCATCGCATTTACGGAGAAAGACAAAAAACTTATGGAGTTTTCCAGACCAGATTAAAAATCCAGAGCCAGAGCCCTGACTGGTGGTCCAATTGGTTGGAGCATTGTCTGGTACACCAAAAGGTGGTGGGCGGATTTGGTATCCAGGGTGTGAGTTTGATCCCCAGCCAGAGCATGTGTGGGAGGCAACCAATGGATGTTTCTCTCTCACATTGATATCTATCCTCCCTCCCTCCCTCCCACCCTCCCTCCCTTCCTATCTCTAAAAATCATTTTTAAAATAAGTCCTGAGCCAGAAATGCCATTTTACTTTCACTCTGAACCACGTTGGTATTTGGAGAAGTTGGATAGTGGTAGTTGATGAGGAGTTGGAGAGCATGAAGAAACTAGGACATAGTTATTTACTTTGTTTGTCTTACTTTAAAAAAAAAAAAAAGACCCCAAATGGTTTTAGGTAGCTGGGAACAATGATACAAGAGAGCAAATAGTTAAATGCTTAACAGTATAGTATTTGTAGGTCTCAACTCAACAATTCTCGGAACTTGTCACACTGTCTCCCATGCCTGGGCACTG